TTAGCTGCCTGGAGTGGCTCACTCGTTAAGTAACGGGAGACTAATTAAGCGTGAGCGTATTAGCGCGAAAACAAGTTAGTTACCGATTCCAAATCGGTAACTACCGCGGCGATTACCCATTTTAATAAGTTCAGTATCGCTTCTGAACACTTTTGAGGACTCCTTTTTGAAGCAAACGGACCTGCGCTCGAGTTTAAGGTGTAATTTCCGTACGAAACCCGTCGAAATTATTTAACTCCGGAAGTCACCGGAAATTAAATCACTGCAAGCATCACTGCATACCAGAAGGGAAATGCAGATATTTCATTTAACATTCCATCGGCAGTAGCCAGTGATCCTACTTCTTTGGTAATTACTAGCCTCGATATAGCGCACAGAATAATTATTTGTTTCAGAAAGGGAATCGATAAGGATTTGACGATGGCTGCTGGATTAATTTAAAAGCGTAAAGTTCGTACTACATGGTCAGGAAGTACTGCCGTCAAGGCGTTTCCGTTTGCTTAATAACATCGTTTTATTACCATCCCAGGATTGTCCAATAATTTTTCTCGAAACCATAAGGAAAATTTGGGGATATCACCGAAAAGCAGTGTGCAAAAAGGATGGCAGGCTACCGAATAAACGGCGATATTTTGTTCTGGCTAATATTTTGTCGGCGAAAACGGCGATATTTTGTTGATGCAGTAAAATGAACTTTGAAAATTTATGGGTTCAAGAAAATAATTGTCCTGTTTTGAAGATAAAGAACCATCTTCGCTTTCAAAATGATGTCAACAAACGAATCTGACAAGTGAATCATGTATGTGCGAGAACGGCACTGGCTGGCTAATGACCGCTAAGGTCAATCCGGATCGTGTACAAGGCACAACAAACGCACAATGTTACTGTTGAACAAAATGCTGTTGTCTTAATACCTTTAGAGGTACTTCGAAGTATGGCATAAAAAGATCTGCCGAATGAACCAATATGCCAGTGGCACTGGCTAATTGCTGATCGATCGTTAACTATGTATGTCCCGCACACATCGTAATGCCCGGCTTAAGCCCATTGGCTGTGCAAATGTTTCGGTCAGTCATGACCCTGCCGCTTTTTTATTGATTTTAATGCGGGCAAATTTTGGTGCGTTCCGTGCACGTTAACCGTTTCAGTGCTGTTGCAAGAATATGTGGGATTAATTATTGCTGTATGTTGTACGACACACAGCGGTGCGTTCTATATCACCGGTTAGCGCTCTGTTCTTATCCAGATTGTGCCATGGCACATCGTCTACGGGCAGCTGCTTCCCGGTCCCAGACCGGATCGCCGTTGTTCGGGCTACATATTCGCTCTCCTTGCTTGGCGGGTATTTTGATGTTTTTCATCCAGCGCATTGTTTTTTCCTTTAGTTGTGACGTTGAGTTACTCCGGCCTGTACATGATTAATTGCCCAAAGGCTTATTAAAGGATACTCGCAAATGTTTGTGCTGGTACATGGAAAACGGATGACTTCTGCGACGGTACTGGTTTTGCTGCGCGGCACACAACTGATCCCCTACGATTCTGTTCTGTTCAGTGGTGCGTTTAAGGGGGGGGGCTCCCGGGGCCAAAGCCCCCCCCGTAAACTACAGATTTGGGTACTTCAAAATGCACAGCGGTACCCCTTGTGAAAATTTTTCATATATATTTCCCATTTTCCAATGTACTCCCCCCTTGGTAAAACGTTCGTTGTAGCTACAAACTTGAAAATACACTGTAAATCGTGTGCAGCGGCAGCACCGTGCTTTGAGGGATATAGGAAAGTACAATAAATGTAGCACGTAACCGATGAGAGGTGACAGCAGCAGCCGGAAAGTAGCAAGCTGCCTGCCAAGGACGTTACATAGTAGGCACACCGTCCCCGACTTTTTCATCTCTTGTCTTTTAGTCGTCGATCACAGCTTTTTGAAGTGCCGCCTTTTTCTGTATTTATTTATTTTATCGTTTTCAACAGTGACCAAAAAATAAGCCAAAAAATTACTATTTGTGAGTGAATTTCTATTCTTGCAGTAAAACCGAGTATGTATCAGCTTCGCGCTCGGCGTATAAGTGCATGGCTTTTTACCGTACATAAATAATATTATGTAAATGAACTTAAAGTCCTTGCTCGAAATATAAGCACGTCATATTCCATTTTTCACGCATTTGCGCACATTACTAGTTTATTAATAAACGAAGATCCGAAAAGTGCTCGTGCAAGAAAATCGTAATACCTTAACTATTTCTTATAAAATTTCTAGTAAATCACACAGCAAAAGCGTGTGTCGCCTTCGCGCTTCGCGCGAAAGTTGACATTTTTTAAAAGCTTTATACATAATGCCGCCTTACTTCTTGCCCTTTAGCTTTCGCTACAAGAAAGTTTGAATTATTCTACTATTTTTAATAGAATTTCTAGCGATTTCCGCAGCGAAATAGCTCGTTGGCTTCGCGCTTCGCGCGAAAAATTGTCAACCGATGTAAATTTGAACCATTAAACCCGACCGCATAAGCGAGTCAAGTTCGCCTAAGGTTTGCAGTGAGATTAAATTCAGTGAGATTGAATTCAGCGAGTTTGCAGTGAGATTGAATTCTGAATTTAAAGTACCTTTATCAACGGTGTATTTTAATCCAAGTCCACTTAAAAAGGCAAAAACAGATACCAACCGCTTAACGTTATAAGAATATTTCACAAAGGGTTCGCTGGCCCACCCGTGAAAAAAGTTCTAGACGCGCCACTGGTTCTGTTGCTGCACAAATCGGGATTTCATGCTTTCAAACACTTTTCAAAAACGATACTTTATAAAGTTGCATGCCCGGCGGGCATTTTTGAACTGTTTTCTCTGGCCATAAACAACTGAATCGTGGCAGAAAACTATTCCCTTCTTTCTCAAAGGAAACATCAGGGAAGAGACGATACTGCTGCTAGAATAACCGTAAGCATCTGCAGACTGCACATATAGCCTCGTTGATTTACAGTCCAAGCTTGGTTGCAATTTCAGAATTGCACTGGTGGATAAATGACATCGATCCACTGTTACATTTCCGTTTTGAGTAATTATTAACGAACGTAATCGAACACTGCCTGAATCACAACTGACAAACAAGTTATGAACGGAAAGTAATTACATCGGATCGGAAACAATGTTAATTAACAACAGTAAAATGGCTTATACAAAACGGGTGTGGCTGGTGTTAACGAGTTTATTCCCAGAAAAAAATTAATGTGACACTGAATTCGTGTATCCTCGTTCTACAAGCTCGGTATCTTAAGACTTCGAAAAGGCTCATTGTCAGAATATATGCTAGATCTTCGCTTAATATCATTTCACGAATTAAAGAAATTCAGTGAAAAACGCGTGAGCGCATATACAGACTGTACCTGTACACGAGGCAACGGAAAGGAACTGGTCCCCAGACTGGCAGTGCCTTCCAACTATGTATAAGCAAAACCAAGCTTTCAAGCAACCACACCTCAGTTTTTTCTATCACCATCTTCCTATCACCATCTTTTTTCTATCACCACCACTATCACTATCATTTTTTTCTATCACCATCAGTGGTGTGCTTTCTCAGTAAATTAACAGCCACAGTACAAAATATAGCACAATAATATTATTAACACGTTGCTCTATAAAAAAAATCTTGGCATGGTTGAACTTTGGATAGTGCAGTAAAGAAATTGTTATCAGGAAAAAGCGCTATACAGTGAGCACATCGCCACGATGTAAGTTATTTGACAGATCATTGCCTGGAACACGTTTAGCAGACAGCGGACATCACCGGTAATTGATCTGAATCGGGATTTGAGATTCCATCTCAAGTGACCTGATACTAATGATGTTTTCTCGTAAGTTAAAATGTAGTATCACGTTAATCATGCTGAACGCTTTGCTTCGTGTGTTACACTAGATTCTTTACATGTACTAACGAAGGTTGTTTTGCTTGCTGGTAGCTCCTGAAACCCCAGTACATGAGTTCTCATTTTGCTACAACTGCACAGGCGCTCTTGAAAGAAACTGTCGCCGTATTTTTGTGCTTTATTACTGCCACTCATCTATGTACAAGTATTCCTTAACAACGTAACGTCAAATACCTCAGTTAATCGATGGAATTCCACAATAGTGCTGGTCAATTGCAATGAACAAGCCTGACTGGTGAACGTGATAGCCGAACACGTTGGCTGCCCAATGACCGTGAAGGTCATCCAGCACTGTGAACCCTGCAACGCGCAAAAGTGGACTGGCCTGCTGACTCAAACGCTGTTGGTTTCCTTGCGCCTTCGTTAACGCAGATCTATTTTAAGGTCACTATCCAGCGTATTTTGTTAATTGTCTATTTGTTGAACATCCACCCGGAAAGAGTTACAGAGAGCGGGAATAAGGATATTTTGTTTAAATCCGTGCTAACGAAGCGCGTCGTGCGGAAACACGAACGTCAGCTCTTTTTCTATGTATTTCTTCGACAAAGTTTGTTGTTAATAAAAATTATTATGGCAAATTACAGATCGATCAGTCACAAACCGCAGTGAACGGAAACCATTGTTGATTCCTCTATTAATCATACATTTCTCCCTTGCCTTCTCCTCGTCCGCCATGGTATCACCCGTAGTAGATTGTAGAGACTTCTTGATTAGTTAAGCTATAAGTTTCAACAAAGAAAATTTTATTTTATTTCAAGTTTCAACTAAGAAAATGCAAAGGTAAAACTTCGTTCGCTTATAAAAAGTATTGATCTATCCGAAGACAAGGTTCTTGCGGGCTCGCCTTTCCTTTTTCCACGGAATGTAAAAGACGTTTACACCAAACAGTAAAATGCTTCAAAAATTATAAATAGAGTTATAAATAGAGTGCCTTTGAATATTATGGGTATGAGCGTCTCAATTTCGAAGCGAAGCTTGCTGAGATGACTGGCATTTGTGGATAATAAATGGATAATAAAAGGTATCTGGGTAATAAGGTGCTTCTCCCGTTTCCGCAAAATTTTACTTTGAATATGCCTTTAATCTTTCAGGTTGGCGGCTTGGGCATCCGCGCAGGCTCCTCGCTGTGACTTCGTATGCACCGACTCCACATTAAACAAAGACCAGACCACAAATCCCTGACGCTCAGGCAGAAGAATATCGGATCCAGGATCGCCTGTAGCGAATACAGGACCCCGACAACCTCAGAAAATGTGGGCATCTCGGTGGGTGGAATAAAGTAAGCGAGAATGTAGAAAATCAGCGAGGGAATCCAACACACCAGAACACCAATGGTGAACAGGGTCAGGACGATGAACGGCCGTGACGCGTTGCCCTCCTTTTCAACTCGCGCGTTAGACGGCGTCGACGACTGCGGTGGACTGTCGTTTCCCCTCCCGCGCAAAACGGCCGCAATTCTTCTTCTCTGCACTGTCTTCCAAAGCAGCACCGGGTAGCAGGTAGGAATGAGGAGCTTGGGTAGAACGAAGATCACCACGGTAGTAAAAGTGGCCCACACCGGCTGCGGGGCAGTGTTGATCCAGCAGCCGTATTTCGCGGGGAGGCGATAATACATAGCGTCGAGTATGATGCCCGGCAACAGCGGAATATGCACATAAACCACTGCGCCAATGCAGAACGCCACCGCCAAGCGGATCGTGTGGTGGCTGCGATAGGACATCGGTCCGAACAAAGCCCACGCGCGAGTGAGACTAACCAGCAGATGCAGATGCACGGTGACCGCGCCTAGAGCATAGTCCCTATAAATTCTGGCAGTGCAGGCCGCCACGCCCAATGTCCAGCTCTGGCCGGTGAAACCCCAGTTCATTATGCTCAGAGTGCCGTAGATGATGGCGTAGGCGATGTTGCTCAGTGCTAGCGCCACGATGTACATGTTAAAGGTTGTCTGTAATTTATCTTTGCCCATGATCAGAATGATAACGCCGCTGTTGGCTAACAGCGCTGCAATGGGGGAAATAATGGGCCAGAGCTCTACGGACGGTTGATGGCCGGTATTCGTCGAAGAATTAGAAATGACGTGGGATATAGTAGAAGAAGTATTCAGCTGCACAGGCATTTCTGAACTGCCTGATTTTCGCTTGAATATAAACACTGACCAGTATGTAGGAAAACACAGTTAAATCACTTCTTATCTGAAGGCAGCGAGGATGTTCGACGCTGATGAATGTCCTTCTAACTGCTCTTATATGATCTGGCGGGGAATTGCAGTCCGATGCCTGAATGAAATTGTTAATTAAACTACTACTTCTAGTGGAAATAATGGCGTTCGATCCATTATGGCTTTGCTTTTCATCGATATAAATACCACCTAAACAGTTCAATTATCAGATGACGTACTCTAACGTAACGTAACGTAACGTAACGTAAATTAGCGGCGTTCACCTAGATAATTGGCGGTTGAGCATCATACCACACTGAAAATAATTGTAATCACGGAATCGAGTGTTTTAAATGTGCTCTTCAACGCCATGACGAAGGAAAAAGTCACCGAATTGTACCGGCATGCCAATTACTTGGGAGTTCGAGTAGCCCAAAATTTAATTAAGATTTGATCCCCTTTCCCAAAGGTCGGCATCGCTTGATACACTTCCAAAATACTGTTACTGTATGTGTTTCCGAAATAAGGAAATACCGGAAATTGTAAAATATGTATTCCAGCTTAGTTACAAGCCTAGAGAATATTCCAGTCAGGATCGACTTACAGCAATTACTCACCGCTTGCTACATTTCTCCAAAGCCTTACCCGATGGGAGAGCTTCTTTATGGGATATTCAACAAACAAAATACGTACTGTAAAAACGTTTCTGTATTCCGTGAGCAATAATAATATTATTAGAATGACAATAGCAATAGCGGACTGAGAACGGCGATGATTCAGCAAACCAACAGTTTTCTAGATTTCCTGACCAGGTGACCTATTGTAGTTGCCCATCAGGCTGCAACGCAGAACCTGGCTGAGGGAAATGGGCCCGTTTAACAATAAATTCTATGGAAAAAAATGGTCAAATAAAAATGGAGCAAATTAATACAGGCAGACGTTTATTTCTGCACGGGAACAGCTTCTAAGAATTTCGGATTTCCGACTAGAAAAGTACTTGTATTTGTAAAAAACAATTTATAGTAGTTATTCGCAGTCGGCACACAAATTCAAGTTGAATTTGTTCACCGAATTTTTCGACCAAAATTTGGTTGAATTATTCAACCAAAATCATGTGCAGCCAGGCCATCCGGCTATGCCGCCTACTGGTACAGACTATACTTAACAAATTTCGCTGTCGTTTACGGTCTAGTGTGGTTTTGTATACGAAGAATGCTATGAATTTGGAATAATGCTAAGCATTATACATTTGGTTGCAGTTTGCATATTCTTACCAGGGCACATAGGGGTGCTCCCCCTTCAAAAAAATCTCGTTTCTTGCACAAAGGTAGTAAACATATGTAGGACATTTAAAAAAATTATTTTCAGCTGCTGTGATCAAAGTGGCCGTGGTCAAACGTAATTTAAAATCGTTAAATTAGTCAGTACTGCACATATGCTAGGACATTAGGTTTTTTCACCAAGGCCATGTCACCGGCTCCCGCCTTCAAAAAATTTCAGTTTTGCAAGAAGACAGAGTGATCCTTGGGTATAAAAATACTTTCATCAGCTGGGGTTGAGTGGCCGTGGCCAAACTTAAATTTCATTGGCAAACATATAGTACGGGTACTATGTACTGGGATTTGGGATTTGGGAATACCATTTAATTAATGTACCGTCACTACCGTGCAAAGTCCGAGGTTGACACAGATACGTGTTATCAATAGTCAAACCCTTTTCTTACGAGTAATTCTTCCAAAAAAATTCAAAAAAATTTAGTTGCTATGAAGTCAATCACGAAGACGAACTTCAAATTTTAACTTCGCGAAGACGTACACTAATTATATGGTATTCCCAAATCACAGTCCCAATAATTTTTGTTTCGGAATAGTGCTAAAAGGCATACAAAATCTTTTATATTCAAAATCTTTTTATGTACCTAATTGAATTGAGTTTAAAGTACTCAATAATCACTCATCTGAACCTAAAGAACAAAGCCAAAACGCCGGCGGACTTCCGTGTCCTTCAAAATTTTTTTGCGTTATCAGAACGCTGGAAAGTGCTCTAGATCTGTTGATGTAATAATGCATGCAGTAAGAAATCCGAAGAAATTTCGACATTGGTCGTTATTAGTTCCGTCCATTTTTAGGATCTTCAGAGTAGATTTAAGTACATTAAAAATTTTTGAAATTTGCAATTCTGTATGCTTTTTAGCAATATCCCAAAATCTCTGATTCGTTTAACGCTTAGCATTATTCTTAACCAAAGAATTTGTGCAGTGCTTATAACATTATACATAATTAACGAATTTGTATAACGCTCAGCTTTACGCAAATTCAGTGGGTTGTGATTTGCGAATAATGCTGAGCATTGTACGCGTAAATTTCCATGTACGAATCATTTTTGCTTAACAAAATCGGACTTAGCTTAGCAAAGCTTAGCAAAATTACCTCCTTTCATCATTTTTCAGCTTGGTCGCTTTATGCGAATATGGTCAGTCGCATACTGCCCAACAAGCATTACACAACATTTGCACATAAATTGAAAATTTTTAAATTTACATTGTTGAATAAGCAAAAGTTTTCGTCGAGGCTGTATAGGTTAGGTAAAAAATTGTCCATCACTCTTAAAATTAATTGGGTACTGTACATCGGGCCAAATTGATAATAATTAATTTTTCCACAGAAATTTGTGATACCGGCTTCGGTGAAGTACACCCTGGTCACGCCTAGTTGGCGGCATTGGATTTAACTTTGAAGAAAAATACGTTACCATAAGGTTCTGGTACATTGCAGGTGACGCATAAACAATGCAGCTACAAGTTATAAATTTTAGTAGATTTTCCTTTTTCTGTTTTACATCATAATCGTTTTAGTATATCGTTCCCTTGAACCGGAAAAAGAGCGAAAACTTAATTCGGAATTGAACCAAACTTTCAAACGGTTATTCGTTTCCAGATGACCGAGAGGGCAGCTCGATACTGCAGTACGCACAAGCTGACTGACCTAATGAATTAATCACTTCGGTGAGTTTCCATCGGCGCAGGTCTATTCTTGTACGCTCGCTTATGTGATTCGCTCGAGCGTTATGTTTTGGCTGTTCGTTGAATTTTGAACAAGAAAGACCTTTAGAAACATTGGGAGCAAGAAAATCAGTAAAAGCGCTACCAGGGTCAAAAGGTACATGTTATGAAATGATGAAGACAGCCAAGAACTTACTATAGGTGGAAGGACTGGGAACCGACTGTGCAACGGTCGACTACGTCATCACTGTCGCATACAGAATGCACTGCTGTGCTATTGTTTACCAGAGCTCCACAGATTTTCTTGTCCCTTTTAAAAGATATTCTCAGTTCCTTTTTCCTCAAAGCTTTCTGGTATCTTAACAGGTCATACTGAATAGAAGAGAAAAGAATTCTGCTGAGAAAACTGATAAAAACCGCGAAAAACGTGCATCTGTCACCATGACAGCCGCCCTCCCGTATATGCGAGAGTGATGACGTCAAACGGTAGGTTACCAGTCCTTCTCACACTACGAGTATAGTAAGTACTTGGGAGAGCCAAAACAATTTATAAAGGACGCTCCAAAACTAAGTTTTCCTATTCTGCCTACGTGCCATTTGAAGTAATGGGCATGTCTTATGTTTTTTGTTATATAAGCAATTATGCAAACTAATTAGAGAAATAAGAATCAAAAGATTCAATGAAGAACTGGAAAACGAAAAACAAAATAGCAATACCACTTATACATCCATTTTCACGAGTTTTTTCGAAGCTCGTTCTTTTTATTACCACTTCTGTCCCGGTTGTAATTTCGACAGCAAATTTAAAGTACCAGCTACAAATACTATTCTTAATATTACTGCAATAACAGAATGGTTTGAGAAATTTACGGAGGAGAGCAAACATTTTTTCTTTCCACGACGCCGGAATCCCCCTTTTCAGCCTTCTTATTGATATAAATCTAAAAGTTACTGGCATCAATAAAATAAATTTCATGCGCAGTCATATAGGTCTTTGACACAAAGAAATTCGAATTGTACCGACAAGTAGCGACAACAATGATGTTTTACAATAAATATTCGATTGTTTACCGTCCGGCACCTTGAGCATCTCTGTGGCTTTTCCACCTAGTCTTCGAGAGATTTTACAGTACTTTTCTGGAAAAGCATTGCGAAGAAGTTATTTTGTTTCGTACTTGGAATTAGGACCGTTCGTTCCGCTCCTGGCGGCGCGATCGTCGGTGAACTTTTCTCGGGTCTCGTTCTTCCACTCGAGCGGTTTGTGAACAGCGACAGTCGAGTACCACTGTCCCGTGTTTCACGGTTCTATTTTCGCTAACGCTTCCGGTATCAGCCGGCTCTCGTGGATCCTTTTCTTCCTTGATTTCGGTGGTGCGCTTCTGGCCACTGTCGCTATCGGTTTCCCGTTCTTTGTTACTTCTTCCTCCCGAACCTTCTCGCCGTCAAGGGTCTCCACCTTCTCCTCGGTCGTCACTTTCCTTGCTTTCTGATTCTCTAACTGCGTCTGTTTGATCTTCTCCTGACGCTCCGAGAAACCTTCTTCGGCTTCTTTCCTCCGCTCTTTCTCCGTTTGCGTTCAGAGCGGTCCAAATGCAGAGCGTACTTCAGCTTGTGAACCAGCCCGCCCTTCTTATGTTCGTCCTCGTCATCGGGGAACATGGCGGCGTGTTCAGCGATGACCTTGCCCTTATCCACGGTGGCGCCATCTCTTCTTTCTCGTTGTAGTCCGGCATTTTCAGGTCGTTGCATGCATCTCGTCTTGTGACGTCTCACCAATGTTTACCCGCTGCGCTTCGCCTTCAGGCTCTTTATTAGGCGCACGACCGATCACTTCACCCTCGAAGTGACCCTACGACGGTCCCGTTCCGCGTTGTCCACTGATCCCCGTTGGCAGCCTTCACGCTCGCACACGACTTCTTTTTTGGTTTCCGTGTGACGCTCGCGGTCTTCTTCGTGG